AAACTCAAATGAATTCAATACCTAACGACCCTGAATCATACGTATTTTCTTATTTATAAATATAATGCGGACTTTTAGTATAATTTATGTTACTTTCGGCAAGTAAGTTATAATTGCATTTTCATCTCGGCTTCTTAGCCGCCTCAAAGCTTGCACTGAAAGTAACATGCAAACTGTAATACGATTTTTCCTTATTCTTTAATTTTTAAACACAAGTGTAGAAATACATTTTAGTACTCTAAATAACAGTAAAACGAACAACCGCAATTCGTTAAACACAGATACAATAGCAGCTTTAATTTATAGCAAGCAAGAGATTGTTAAGTCTGCAGGCATAGTGCCATTTAAACCAAACAAAAAAATGTTTACTTCAATATTTGGTACTTAAAATTTGGTGATATGTTAAAGAAATGTTTAAAATATTCCCCAATATCAAAACAAAACACAAAGTGCTTAAAGTACTTTTCGAAATATGTTGGGCAAACTAAACGATCCATCCGAGTAAGGGTTAAAGAGCACTTGGCCCATGGTAGATTTGGTAGGACAGAGAAATCGAGTGTTACCCAACATATACTTGATGGTGGTCATAGAATAGGATTTGACAACCTTAAACTTACTAAGGCAGTTAGGGAACCAAGTCTGCTAGATAGTTATGAAAGTTTATACATCTATAAAATAGAAATTAATTTTTAAATAGCGATAACAGACCGGTACCCAACTCTAGTTGGTATAAATTAGTTTGTTAGTTTATCTTTATGGTCCACGGTTTAATAAACTGTGTCAGTTTACGGTTTAGTCAAACCTTAGCTTATAACTGCTGTTCGAAATTTAGGAAACCTCCTGTAAAATTACATTTGAATTTTTTTTCAAGGCATTTTTATTTAAGTAAAATAATGATTTTGTAATACTAATAAACTTTCTTTCCTTTTCAGCAACAAAACAAAAAGAGAGTATAGCTGGAGAGGTACTCGCAGGAATTAAATTGGTGATTGACAATTGAGTAGGAGAAATTGTCTTGAGATCAAAATAGGAGTGACAATTGGAGCACTAACAGTAAATATTACGGAGCCCAGTAGCACCTAAAATCGGAGACTTCTACAATATTTAGGTAACATAGGTGGTGGTTTAATGAGGACATTATTATTTTGCAGGATGGCCGAAATGTTAGACGTAAGTTTAAAAAGCTGGTGGCCACTGGAGGGCGCCACTACACGGATGGTAAATGTGGGAGCTGCCGTCCCGACGGAGAAGAAGAAGAAGAAGAGAGCGTTGTTTTTGGAGTAATAAAAGCTTGGTGTCATTTTAATTTAAAATAAATTAAAAACAGTTTACCGGTCATATTATTCAAAATACCTGACAACAATAGTATGTATTTAGAATTGTATATCAATCCTGTACATTGTACAATAATTGCGTTAAAAATCTATTAAAGTGTTGAAAAAAATCACCTTACCAATTTTGTGAAAAGATATACAGTTTGTGCAGAATAGAGAAACAAAATTTTGTACACAATTTAATGTAGAATAAGTATACAAATTGGTTCTGTCGCTTTTGCAAAACCAATTTGGATAGAAAATGTACACAATTGTTTAATAAAAATGCACACAGTTTTCTGTGCGTGGCTTCCCAATAATGCCAAATACTATATAAGGATAAATACTGACCCATGTAAATATTGGTCAAAAAATAAAATACAAATAGAAAAGTATTGTGGTGGGTTTGTTTTAAAATTGCATTTTAAACACCACTTTTTACTTAAATATTTTTAGAAACCCTTAAGGAAGCAACGAAATTTGCATCAGGCAAAATAAATAAAATAAACAAAAAAAGAAACATTCACCCCCCAAAATGTTATGGTCCGTGACTACAACTCTCAAAATGCTCAAGAAGGTAAAATGATATGTACATTTACATTTATATGTTATTATTATAATTTATTATTACAGATACAGACAACGAATTTTCGGATGATGAAAGTAACTATAAAAAATATTTAACAATCCAGAAAACTTTATATTTTATATTTTTTGCAGGCATACCTGTAGATACTGAGGATGTAGTAGGAAATACAGAAGTGGAAAAAATAATAACAAAATTCAGACCAGCAAAAGTAATAAATGAAAATAACATTCCTTTAACCTCTTTTGTTAAGAAAAAAAGAAATATTAACCCCCACGTAACTAAAAAAATCATTGACAATCTAGAAAAATTTAATTTATATTGTTTGCAGATAATGAGGATATAGTGGAAAATACAGAATTGGAAAAAATGGTAAAAAAAATCCAGGCTAACAGAAGTAAAATGATATCTCCTTTAACCTCATTTGTTAATGAATAAAACTTAAATTCATCAGCAATACAAAAAATAATAATACATAAATTTAAAAAAAAAATTAAAATATTTATTAATATCTTAAATACTATGTTTAGTAAAAAGTTGGACTTAATTATGACACAATTAGTGGTGCTAACTAAACATATCTGTAAATTGGAGGAGGATATTAAGAATATAAATTTTAAAAACCAAACCCAACCCACTGAGTGTATGAATTTTAATCTTCTATTGAGATATATTCAAGACATACAAGATTTGGAAAACTCTGTCAAAACAAATCAGAAGCAAAAATATTTATTTTTAAGTCTTTTTATTAAAATTATTTTTAAATATAATTGCATGTTATATTTTGTGTTATAATTTTATCATCAAACATAAAATGTAACATGTATATGATTTTATATTAGTTTGCAGGAGATTTTTGTAATGGAACAGGGAGGAAATACCTACAAACAATATGTTACAAGGGTGTTCCAAACAAAAATAGTTTGGGGGAGGAATGATCATGGACTGGACAAAAAAATAATTTTAAACTTAAGGATTTTTATTTTATTTAAATAATATATATATATATATATATATGGTATGCGTAATTAATGTAATAAACTTTTATGCTGATTAAATTTCTTTTAAATTTTAAAAACTAGTAAACAAAAAATAAATTGTACCCACCATGAGTATGAAATGGCTGTGAGAGATTGGATTAGGCATTGCCGACAAAGAAGACTAAGGGATTCATTGTAATTATAATTGCCAGTCTATAAGAAATCAACCCAGTACTAAGTTTATTCAATATATTAAATCTTTAAGAATTTAATACATTGAATACTTGGTATAAACAATTCTTATGTGTTTTTTATACAGTTAACAATTACTACATTTGTTTTAATTTTAATAATTTAGAATAATATTAATGTTATTCACTTTTGTTTTTTTTTACAAAAGCGGTTTCATGTAGATGCGAAATACGAAAAATGTTTTCATTGGTCTATTTGATTTGGGGGGAAAATGGTTTTGACGTGTCAACAGATCCTGCGAATTCGCAAGATTTTAAATCTGGGGGGCAGGAATCTTGAGATTGATCCAATATTTTGCGAAAATCGCACGAATTTGTCGTGATGCGCATGCGCATTAATGCCTATTTGTTATTTACCTACGCCATTTATGTTTATTTGGTTTATTTAGTATCGTTGTTGAGTTTTATTTGAACAGTTTAGTGCTAAAGTGTTTTTAAATAAAGCTGTTTTTTGTTGTTTATAATGGACAAAGAGTTTTTCGAGGTACATTAATGTTTCTTATTTTACCTTTATACAGGGTTCCTACCACGAAAATTAAACGAAATTCCCTGACTTTTCCAGGTTTTCCAGATTAATTTTTATCAATTTCCAGCAACAATTATAATATAATTAGTTATAAACAAATAAATGTAGGTATATGTATGGTAAAAATAGATTTTTCTTTTTCTTTTTACAATTCTTAAATTGATATAAATAAATTAAACAGAACAAACATTCATAAAAAGTTTGAAAGGAAACACATAAGGCGTATTCATGCTCACTTAAAATAAGAAATAAGAATAAATATTAATAATTTTTAACTTTGGTTCTTATTCTTGCGTATAAAACTGCGCAAAAGGACAAAATAGGTCTGTGAATTGGTTAGTGTTGGCGATCGCCGTGAGTGTCGCTGTCGTTTTATTATCTATGGCTATCGTTTGTTTATGTTTTGTGTTTTTGGTAATAAAAGAGTGATTTGTGAATTAAGTTTTGTGTTGTTTATGTGTAATAATGGATTAAGCTGAACTGATTCGTGTGGTGCAGCAGTTTCCAAATCTAACAAATTAAAATTAAACAAAACATACTAAAAATACCAGTTTATTCATAATATTATAATATAAAAATATATTAACCCATTTCCGCCGTGGCCATATGGCAACGGGAAGTACACCAATTTTAAACATTTTTCTACTCATTGAAATGCCTTGGAGGGAGGTGGCATGGGCCTTATTTAAAGTATCGATGCTTGCAGAAGTTTTAGATTGTGGTTGCCTATTGCAGCGTATAGGCGTTTCAAAAATGTAGTTGTAGTTATTTGTAGAAAAAGGCTTCAACACAAAACCGTGTAACCGTCATTTTGAAAGTTACCCATTGATTTTATTTTATTAGTTTTTGTACATCTAGAACAGTATAGATGTGAACTGTTAAGTGGTTTATTTTTAGTTTGACTAATTCTTAAGTATACTTTTAATAAGGATATTTGTTTAGTTGATATTGATATTTCTTTTTCCGACACGGATGGAAACACTCTTTTATAACTTTTATAACTATTTCTGGATTTATGCAGCACAATTTAACATTAAGTTAACATTAAGATTAACATTAAGAAGTTAAATGAACGTTATCCATTGGAAGCTTTTATGCAACACATTAACATTAACTTTAGCATTAAGTTTACATTAAGAGATGGCCAACTTTTATCTTCTTAATGTTAATGTTAATTTTTATTCCTCCTGCGCAGGTTTGCGGCGCAATTTTTAAATAAACCGCGTCAGTAATACCAACAGCAAATGAAATAAAACTAGATAAAACTTTAACGAATTTCTTGTTTATTGTTGTAATTTTCGTTTTTGTTACCTACGTGTTTTGAAGTGTTTTGTTAGTGCAAAAATGAGCATTTTAGATGATGGGCAACTGATTGAGCAAGTAGAGTGCTTTTCTTTTATATATAATAAAAACGATCCGTCTTTCAAAGACAAAATAGCCAAGGAAAATGCTTGGCAAACCATAGCGGCCGTTATGGATGTGACTCGTAAGTACTAAAAGTTTTTAACGAGAAGCAAGCAAATTTAAATAAATATTTTGCTGTTGTAGCTCAAGAATGTGAACAACGATGGTCAATACTCAGAAACCGATTTTCAACAGAAATACGACTATCTAAAAACACACCTTCCGGAAGCCAGGCCACTCACCAATGGCCATTATTTAAGGCAATGGAGTTTTTAATACCTTTTATTACTGCCAGAAGGTTGGTTATTTTTCAACACCCTGTCATTTTTGTAAATTAATTTTATCTACAAATGCTTGTTGTCAGTGTCAAAAATATAATTTTAAGGCACTAGTACTAAATTACTTTTACTTTTAAATTTATTAGTTAGATATTATTATTAACATTTTAAATAACTATTACAGAACTAAAGGAAATGTGCAAAAGGTAAAAAGCAACCAAATGCCAACAGGAGCTCACAAGATATGGGACACATATTCCCACGTTTCGGAGCCAGAGGAACAAGGGATGCCATTGTCTGTAGGGGACATAGAATTAAATATAGACGATGAGTCAATGTCTTTGTCCTCAGTGACACCTTCAGTGACTCCCACTGACTCATTGACCCCATCCACTTCGTCAACGCCCTCAACTAGCCGTCAAGGTGCCAATCCCACCCGTATGGCAGAATTGCGCGCTGACACCCGGGCCTGCAAAAAAAGGAAGACGGAAGATAGCGAGTTGGGGGCTGCTCTTAAGGTAGCCATGACTGGATTCAACAGTTACCTTGAGGAGCAAAAACAGCCTCCCTGTCCTGAACCAGAAAATGAAGATACCACTTTTGGAAAGTTTGTGGCAAGCTACATATCTGGGATAAAAAGTCAAAAAAAAAAATATTTAAAAAAAAATTATGCAAATTTTTATATCTTTTGATTCATATGAATCTGACTGATTTTTTTTGTTAAATGTTTATTAGCCAATAAGTTGTTAAGTTCGATTTTTTAAGGTTTTAGTTTTGTATGTTACTTTATTAAAAGATTCTATAGAATACTGTCCTTTATTTTACACATTTCTAATAACTGATTGAGTAGAAAATTAAGGTAAAAACTGAAAAATGTTTTTGAGTATAATAATATTTATTGTTAATAAAAATTTACAGTATTAACAAAATAACAGGCTATTTTACAGTGTGAAATAGCCTGTTTAATATTTCTATATTCTTTGAAACGCTTGTACAAGAATAAAAAATATTTAACAGGCTATTTTACATTAAAAATGTTAAACTGAAAATGTTTTTCACAATTAGGAAAACTTATTCGTTTTTAAATGTACTTTTAAAAAAAATATATTTAGATCTCTTTAAACTTTTTTGTTAGATTTTTGGAAAAAATATTCTTGATTAACATTTTAAATTTCTCTTTTTTTATAACAAACTTTGAAATTGTGTGTTTTTGGTTTTGAACATTTCAATTGAAAAGGAAATAGAAAACAAAAAAAACCCCTTGAAAATTTCAGAGAATTCACAGAAATTATAATTATAAAAAAAGAAAAATGACTAATGGTAATTATAAAGAAATTTTAGATTTTTCCGAAAATCAAGAAAAAACCTTAAGATAGGTTGGAATAATTTTTTTCTAAAAGTAAATTTAAAAACGAAAATTAAAAAAAAGTAAAAAAAATGTTTAAGGAAATTATATAAATATAAAAAAAGTCGGTTCAGTAAAAAACAAATAAAAATTCTGAGAAACGTTTTCAGTGGGCTACACTTTAAACGTAAAATTCTGCGGCACCGAACCACGAAGAACATAGTCCACCTGCCAGGGTACACTTCCCTCGGGTGATGTAACATAATGTTGCAGAAGGTCTCTATTATAAATGGCTGTGCGGGCAGAATTGTTTGACCCAACTCTACTGACAGACCGTAGCCTAGGTGTCTGTTTCCATTGTCCAGGCCTTATGCCACCATTAGGCAATTCAACATCTACAAAACCAGTGGGACAATATCTACGGTCTGCTTCAGGTATGTCAAATTCGCTTTGTTGTATAAAATTATGTAACACCACACAAGCCATTGTAATTGACAGGCAGGTGTCATAGTCACCAAGAATATTGCCCCTTAATATCCGCCATCGTTGAGCCAAAATCCCAAAAGTATTTTCAATTAGTCGACGGGCTCGCGATAAACGATAATTGAAAATATTTTTGTCCAGACCGAGGTTTTGACCAGGGTATGGTGGCATAATATGTTTATGCAGTGGAAATGCAGCATCAGCAGAAAAATAATGGGGAATATAATATTACTGTTGGGCAATGGCTTCTCTGCAGGCAATTCAAGTTCTCCTTTTAAAATTTCTCGCCCATCCATCCACCCCTATTAAAAAAACCTTTTTCTATTTTTTGCCACTCTTCATTGTTTGGTGGTGTTAAAAATAGAGGCTGCAAAACAGTCCATAGAACATTTGTGGTTTCCTTAATTATGTTGGACACTTTAATATTTGACTTAAATATGTTTCCACCATCTTGTAGCCTACCAAACTCAGACATTGAGGTGCCCTTTGTTTTAGTGGGTGATGAAGCATTCCGATTACATACACATATGATGAAACCCTTTTCCAGACCAACTGCACGTGCTAGTAAACAAAAAGCTATTTTTAATTATCGACTTTCCAGGGCCAGGAGAGTTTCTGAAAATTCATTTGGCTTACTGTCTCAAATTTTTTGTATATTTTACACGCCCATTGCTTTGAAGCCAGATACAACTGATGATTTAATTATTGTAGCATGCTGTCTACATAATTTACTTAGAGATGCATATTTAGAAGCTCAACATAAGCCTTACTATGAATTTGATCCTTCTGAGCTACCACCATCTGACAATTTTATTCCTTTGCCTAGAACGGGAGGTTTTGCAAATATTGATGGATTTTCTGTAAGAGATTTGTTGTGTGGCAAAATTAATATATTTCTAAAACTACCTAGAAATATATCTACATCTTAATACCTTTAAATAAATTATAATAAAATTTAAATAACGTGTTTAATTTATAATAGTTTATTTATTATACCTTACCTGATCTTTTTAAATATTCAGCAACCTCTTTCCATGCATTATCCTTAACTACTTGGTTTTTGTACGAGGAGTTTGCCAAGTCAAATAAACAAGGGAACTTGGATACATATTCCACTAATTTTTCGTCTTCAGTAAATGAAAATATTACTTTCGCTTGGTTATCGGCCATAATGTATATATATATATATATATATATATATATATATATATATATATATATATATATATATATACAAACAGGCGTTAAGGCACCAAATTCGGATATATATGGGCCAAGTGGCACCTATATAATCGTTGTGGCACCATTTCAAGGTGCCAGAACGTTTTATTTCATATATAATAGACTGGGCCAAAAAAATTGACTATTTTTTTTTTTGAAAAATATATCGAAAATGTCATTCAGAATGACAAATAAAAAATTTCGTGAAAATTTGAGCCCCTAATATTAATTTTAAGAGGTCTATCATCGCTATTTTTGATTTTTAGTCATAATTTGATGTTTTACGTTAGAACTGTCAAAACATTAAAGTGAAAAAAATTCCTTTTAACTTATTTTTATATAAAATTAAATTCTCTACAAAAAAGGTTTGATTGAAAATTTTCGTCAGACGAGCCGTTTCCGAGTAATTGAGCTCAATAAATCGATGTGTTTTTTCGATTTGCCCTTTTTACTTTGAAATTTTGTAACTAATGAATCAATGAATATTTTAAAAAGCTCACGTCGGATTCTTAAAGGAAATTTAATGTTCTATAAAAAAGGTCTCTTAAAATTTTGCCTAAATTTAATTCTTCAAAAGTTATTCACGATTAAAATCGAAGAAAAACTTAAAATTTCAATTTTTTCTTCGTGAATAACTTTTGAAGAATTAAATTTAGGCAAAAATGTTAAGAGACCTTTTTTGTAGAACACTAAATTTCCTTTAAGAATCCGACGTGAGCTTTTTAAAATATTCATTGATTCATTAGTTACAAAATTTCAAAGTAAAAAGGGCCAAATCGAAAAAACACATCGATTTATTAAGCTCAATTACTCGGAAACGGCTCGTCTGACGAAAATTTTCAATCAGACCTTTTTTGTAGAGAATTTAATTTTATATAAAAATAAGTGAAAAGGAATTTTTATCACTTTAATGTTTTGACAGTTCTAACGTAAAACATCAGATTATGACTAAAAATCAAAAATAGCGATGATAGACCTCTTAAAATTAATATTAAGGGCTCAAATTTTCACGAAATATTTTTTTTGTCATTCTGAATGACATTCTCGTTATATTTTTCAAAAAAAAAAATAGTCCATTTTTTTGGCCCAGTCTAATATATAAACTCTAATGTGTCATAGTATTATCCCTACAAAATTTCCAGATGGTGCCACTTGGACTATATATATAGAAAAGTACAATTTTAGTTGAACCATATAATCTACAGAGGGCGCTAACTACGTGAGTAAAATATACAACGTAGCGGCACCATGATAGAATATATACAATAATACTTTGCGGCACCAGAATCAGGTGACCAGATTTTAGATGTTTCCCGATATTTAAGATTTAATTTAATTTACTATTTAGTAGTGACCATTTCGCTCCTTACTATTATTATTATTCACGGCTAGTGAAGTAAGTGAAATTACATAAAAATGAATGAAAAACACAAAGTTTGTGGTGGTAAGTACTCAGTAATTAAACTTTTTTAAATTAATTAGGAAAACAATCAATTATTTGCAGAAACTAGGGTTAAAGATGCTGCACGTTTTATGACTAGGTCACAAAAGTTTTTAATAATGTTTTTTAAGCGTCCTTCTAAACTAAATAAAATGAGTTTAAGACCATTATTTGAAATGCTTAAAGAAGTACACCAAGAAAAAAGTTAAAAAATATATCCACAAAATTGTACAAAATTGTTAAAGAAATTAAAAAGATATTGGGTGTATACCAATTTTAATTTTACTATATAAATGTAATTCTAGGAACATCTAAAGATTCAAAAACAAATGATGTTGCGCCTACTGGAACTTCAACAAGTCAGGAACTTCATAATCCTGCAGACAGAACTTGTCATAAAAGACATCAAGTTGAAACATTTTCAGATGAGAAAGAGACATCTGAAAATACTCTTCCTTCAAAAAAACGACTTTAGGAAAAACGAAATGGTCCTCTGATGAAACAAATTTATTAAAGTTACATTTTAAAAAATATTTGGTTAATAATTCACTGTATCCTTCAGCACCTGAACTAGGTATATTTTTAAAAGATTTAAAAACTAAAAGATCTGCTGCCCAAATTAAAAGTAAAATACAATATTTAAAACGAAAAGTGAAATAAATGTAATGACAATAAATATTTATTAGAAACATATGACTTATTATTTTGACAAAGGACTTCCTAAAGCGAGCAATATTCTAGTTTTACTTTTATAAAATACCAACTAAGACATTATATATCTGTATAGTGCCAGAACGCATATATAGTTTAATAATATATAAGGTGCCATTAATTCACATTAAGCTAAAAAATATTGGGTGCGGGAACGTCAATGTAGTTTTTGGTGTCACTTGGTATTTTTACGCGTATATATATATATATATATATATATATATATATATATATATATATATATATATATATATATATATATATATATATATATATATATATATATATATATATATATATATATATAATATATTCACAAACACAAATCACTCACAAAGTACAAAACGCTGGACCTGCTGCGGCCGCGTCTAGACTGCTTTCGAAGAGGTACTGACGCAACCACTGG